AGAGAGAGAGAGAGAGAGAGAGAGAGAGAGAGAGAGCTCTTGGGATGAGATAATCACAAACGCAGTGTTAAACCATGGAATGCACCGCCGATGACGATGTGTGACACTTCTTCATGTGTTGCTTGAGGTTTGGCAGCGATGAGTAACCTCTGCTGCGGCACTCGCGCACCGGACACGGGTATAGCTTCGGGACGCCCGACCTCTTCACAGTGGGTCCCGTGTGAGCCGTCTCTATGTGTGCGTTTAGATTCACTTTGGATGACAACAATTTGCCGCATCCGACGGCCGGACACGGGAACCGTTTCAACGCCGGTTCGGGCACAACGTCCGGGTGATGGCGTTGGGTGTGAACGCGGAGTTCATATATGCCGGGAAAGTATTGGCCGCACGAATAGACGGGACACACGCGGACACTGCCGTCGTGTCCCAGAGGACCGAAAACCTGGATCACCTGTTTGTCAACAGCCGGCATATCATTGTCGTCGTCGAGTATATCATTGATCTCTTGTGTCGCCGATTGAATGTCCATCACTTGTGTCTCAGTATCGATCGGTGACCGCTCTTCGGCGCCGCCACAATCTGTCACTAAAAATGAAGTGAAATAATACTGTAATAAAAATGTAATTTATTTGTTATTAAATACCGGAAACTAATGGATAAGTGTTTTGATCAACACTTTCGGTGGGATTCAAGTCAATGACGAGATTGGGTTCAATGGTATCGCCGTAGGTCTGGAAGGCGGCCACAAATTGATGACTCGTTTGCTCGTCACTAATGGCCGGTAGTATCTGTTGTTTATCACTATCTGTGTCGCCATTGAGTATAGTATTCGAGTCCATTATTATGTCCGTGTCTTCGGTAATGTCCGTCAGTGTAGTTGTGTTGTCCACTGATGTGTCCGCAAACATCGGTTCAATTGATTCGCTATTTTCTGATTTAATATACAAATTATGTTTTTAACAAATGTTATTGTGTTTAAATTGATGTCTAAATTACCGTCGATTTGATTTATACTTCCGATGGATATGACATTGGATTCAATGATATTGTCCATAGAATCGGTCTCAGAGTCAGTCACTAATTGATCACTCGTTTGTCCGGCAATAATGGCCGGTAGTATCGGTTGTGCGGATCCAGTGCTGCATAACTGTCCCATCGGTGATGTCTTCGCATTGATTATCACTTGATTTGTTTCATCACTAGTTTTGGTCGAGTTTTCATTCACTGCTTATTTAATAAATCAAAACAATTATGTTTTAAGTCTAAAAATTAGGGTAAAATATAAATCAATACCTGATTTATCGTTGCTTTGAATTGTGTTAACATTTTGCATGTCTTTCAACGAGTGATAAATTGTGTTAAGTTTAATCAAATCGTGAAAAATATCAATATTTTGATTACAATTACAATTGTTTATCAAAACCATTGACTTTTCCCTAACTTTTTCCAAACAATCAGATAATTGTCTCTCAATTGACAACTCAGTGGTCAGTCTTTGGTTGTCTTCGCGCAACACTTCCATCAGTTCTTTGGCCACTATTTCAGACATTGTTTACACAAAATAAAACACATATTAAAACAAAACAATGTCTTAAATATAAAATAAAACTGAATTAAAAACAATTAATAAAACTTTGTTTTGATTTCTAATCACATGTTGTGTTCACTCAAAACAAGCGCTTAAAACAATTCAATATAAAACGTGCGGAAATGTGGCAAACATTTAGTACCCCTTTATATCACAACTCTATACTAATATACCATTCGTTTTGTCACAACAACTGCATGTAATTTTAACGTTATTTATATACAAAGTTATTAATTTATTTCTATGTAAAAGTTTTATTGAAATAATTGTATTTATTTTAATAGTTTTTTATTTAATTAAATGTATAATTAAATGTATAATTAAATGAATGTATGGTTATATTAATGAGAAACTTATAATTGTATTTTAAATAATTGAGTGATAGGTTATGATTTAGTTATACAACTGTATGATTGAATACAATGTTTTATAATATTTGGCATTTGAAATCACATCTAGATATTTATATTAATCACATTAATATTAGTTTTAAATTAAAAATATTATAATTATATAAGAAATTTACAAATAGTCGAGAGAGAGAGAGAGAGAGAGAGGGAGGGAGAGAGAGAGAGAGAGAGAGGGAGAGAGAGAGAGAGAGAAAGAGAGAGAGAGAGAGCTCTTTGGCAAATACTTTCATGAGATAATCTCGAGCACAGTGTTAAACCATGGGTAGCACCGCCGATGACGGTGTGTGACACATCTTGACGTGTTGCTTAAGGTTTGGAAGATATAAGTAACCTCTGCTGCGGCAGTCGCGTACCGGACACGGGTATCGCTTCGGGAGGGCCGACCACTTCGCAGTGAGTGCCGTGTGAGCCGTCTCTATGTGTACCTTTAGATACTGTTTGGATGCAACCAATTTGCCGCATCCGACGGCCGGACACGGGAACCGCTTCGGTACTGATGTGGCCAACATCGCTACGCCCGGGTGTTGGTAGTCGATGTGCGCCCGGAACTGATACACGTTGAGAAAGCTTTGGCCGCACGAACGGATCGGACAAATGCGGACACCGACTAATGGGACTGAGCCGACCGGCCCTCTGGAACCGGTGGACAACGGGTAGTCAACAGTGCTTGAAACGCATGGCGATGGAAGCGTGTCTTGAGGTGAGGTTAAAGTGTAGCGCATTAACAGATTATGAGAACTGTTATCAGTGGTGCGATTGTGAACCGCGGCCAGTAATTGGCTGTCCATTGTATTGCTGGTGTCTTCAGTGTAGTCGCTGTCGAGTATATCAATGATCTCTTGTGTCGACTCAATGGCCATCACTTGTGTCTCATCGATGCGATTGTCTGCTGAGAAATGCGATTCAAGTTATAATAAAAATGTAATTTATTTGTCATTAAATACCGGAAACAATTGAATGAATGTTTTGTTTAACACTTTCGGTGGGATTCAAGTCAATGACGAGATTGGGTTCAATGGTATCATCAATGATGGTAAACATTTGGTCACACATTTGATCGGCCGGTAGTATCAGTTGTGCGGATCCAGTGCTGCATAACTGTCCCATCGCTGGTGTCTTCGCATTGATTATCACTTGATTTGTTTCATCAGTTGTTTTTGTCGAGTTTTCATTCACTGATTATTTGAGATAAAAATTAAATACAAGTAATTAATTAAATGTTTTAAAACAAAATAAAATTAAAGTTGTATTAAGACTAAAATTAAAGTAAAATATGAATTATTACTCGATTTATCGTTGCGTTGAATTGTGTTAACATTTTGCATGTCTTTCAACGAGTGATACATTTTATTAAATTTAATCAAATCGTGAAAAATGTCAATATTTTGATTACAATTACAATTGTTTATCAAATCCATTAATTTTTCCCTAACTTTTTCCAAACAATCAGATAATTGTCTCTCAATTGACAACTCTTTGCGTAGTTTTTCATTGTCTTCGCGCAAATCATTCAACAAATGTTTAAAAAATTTAACTATTGTCTCAGACATTGCTTTCAATAATAAGTTATTATAATTATTAATTAATACCAAGATTATATTAAAATAAACTTTCTATGCATATATTATACAATCACTTGTATGTACTGCCTATACATAAAACATAATGAAACATATAGAAAATGTATAAAAACGCAAGTTACCTTATTGCATAACACAATGCAATACTAATTTTTAGTTTCTTACATAACAAACAGTAAGACATTTTGCAGTTCAAAGTTTATGTGAAGGTAAAACTTTTGGGCTCTTTTCATAGCCAAACTGAGAAACATGGGGTCAGTATTACATTGTGTTATGCAATAACAGGTTACCTTCAAAAAGGCTACTTTTTCATGTGTGGCACAACTTTTGAATATTTCTATTCATGTTATCTATTATAATGTGAATGATATACAAGTTATTAAAATTAATGCGATTAAAAGTTAAATTATTGTCAGGGCCCGAGTGGGAAGGCTTTTGGGTATAAACTATTTTAACTAATATTACATTAATTATAAACACAATTCAAATGCTGGCACACAATCACACATTCATTCACACATAAAGTCAAACACTTTTGGCTTAAAATAAGAGTTTTATTCAAAATCAGTTTTAAAGTTGAGATGAGTTTTAAAACTATTGAATGTGTATTCAATGAGTGGTGTGGAGAGAGTGGCGAAGAATGTCCGGTGCTTTCAAACTATATCTAAACTCGTGTTTAGCCCTCACCTGTGCTCTCACTGTCCCTTCGCTGACCCTTTTATGAGGGGTTGGGGTTCTGTCCCTCTGTTTGGACACTAAAACTAAACTTCTCTTTGATCTGAACTTTTGGGCGACAATCATATAAATGGGTTTCAATTCTAAACACTAAACCAAATGTAAAATAAAAGTCACGTTTGTTTCAAAGCATGACATTATTGTAATTAAATCACAGCTTATTTTTAATAAGTTTTTATTATTGAAAATTCATGTCTGAAATAAATGTCAACCAATTGTTAGATGTGTTGCGCGAAGACAACCAAAGACTAACCAAAGATTTGTTATTTGAAAAACAATTGTCTGAGTGTTTACAAGACTTGAGTCAAACTGTTTGCCACAAACTTGTGTTCAATATTTAAATACAAAATAGCGCTCACTTTAGACACTTTTTAAACACTAATTAAAACCTTTTCAATAAAACTTTTTAATACAATTAATTCAATAAAGTGTCAATATTTTGATTACATTTACAATTGTTTATCAAAACCATTGATTTTTCCCTAACTTTTTCCAAACAATCAGATAATTGTCTCTCAATTGACAACTCAGTGGTCAGTCTTTGGTTGTCTTCGCGCAACACATCCATCAGATCTTTGACCACTATTTCAGACATTGTTTTCACAAAATAAAACAAGTATTAAAACAAAATAATATAAAATAAAATTGAATTAAAAACAATTAATAAAACTTTGTTTTAATTTATTATTAAAACAACTCAATAGAAAACGTCCGGAAATATGGCAAACATTTATTACCCCTTTATATCACAACTCTATACTAATATACCATTGGTTTTGTCACAACAACTGCATATAATTTTAACGTTATTAATATAAAAAGTTAGTAATTATTTATTATGTAAAAGTTTTATTAAAATAATTGTATTTATTTTTATAGTTTTATATTTAATTAAATGAATGCATTAATGGCTATATTAATGAGAAACTTATAATTGTATTTTAAACAATTAAGTGATAAGTTATGATTTAGGTATAACTGTATGATTGAATGTACAATGTTTTATACTGTACTATTTGACATTTGAAATCACATCTACTGTAGATATTTATATTAATCACATTAATATTAGTTTTGAATTAAAAATATTATAATTATATAAGAAATTCACAAATAGTCTCTGAAAGAGAGAGAGAGAGAGAGAGAGAGAGAGAGAGAGATCATTGATATACTCGACAGCGACGACACTGAAGACATCAGCGATACAATGGACAGCCAATCAGTGGCCGCGGTTTACAATCAAACCGCTGATAGCAGTTCCCATAATCTGTTAAT